ACGAGAGAGAGAGAGAGAGAGAGAGAGGAGGGCGAGGGGGGAAGCGGGCGGTGGCGCGTCGCACAAGACTTCAGGGGGGGAGGGAGCACTTCGTGTCTCACGGGGCGGGCACGCAGGGGCAGTAGCGACGAGTCGTCGGGTGGCTCGCCGTGCAGTTGGGAAGCCCCCGCGCATCGCGCAAGTAGTTGTAGCGGCACACAAGCGTGGCCGGGTTCCTCCGCCGCCGCCTATACCTCTGGCCCCCTCTGTCCTCCACCTCCCGCGAGACCGCCTCCACGGCGGGGAAGTCATTCCCGGGGTGCGGCCGCCAGTAGACGCCCAGCTCACACCGGCTGCAACCGAACACCGACCGCAGCTCCTCGCAGTCGTTGAGCGAGGTAAAGTACAGCGCTTCAGGGGCACACCGCAGCCCCCGTTGGGCACACACGGCATCGCATGAGAGACCAAAGGCCGGGCTAGGAATTTTTTGCATGGAGGGAAGTGTGCGGTTGCGTCGCCGCTTGTCCTCGGACGACAGAAGCTGCGTGTACGCTTCCCTGGAGTGCCGCTGCATCCACACATGTGTCAGGGGCGAGATAGGCGCACCATTCGCACTTGTGTCATTCGTCCCAAACGCGACGCCGTCCACTACAACGAACTCAGAGCCTGGTGCGCGTCCCTCCGATTGCATCTGCAGCGCCTTCAAGTAGTAGGCACTCTTTTTGTGTACTTCCTCCTCGTACAAGGTCCACCAATGCAGGTAGGTGAAGCCAAACTCCTTCTTGCCAAGTGTGGTATGCAAGTTTGGCAGCCGCCGGTCGAACCACGGCTTTATTATGCCACGCAGGTGAACGGCCACGATGGTCCCCTCGCCAGGAATCTTCACATCCACGCGATACCGGGGATTGAGGTTGCGGCTGTACATTGGGTTTATCGGGTAGAACCGGGTCTGGAAGACGTCCCGCAGCAGCGCCCCGTCACGAGCCGCGTGACCGATAAAGCGACGCCCGTTTGGCGGCGCCCCCTGAAGCAGCCTGTCGTAGACGCAGTTAAACATCTCCTGCGTGGGAATGATGATCATCATGCCGGTCTGGAAGTAGCCTTTGCCTCCCACCGCCGCCACGTACTCTGGGCTCCGCACCTTGGGCCGTGAGAAGAGTCTATCCATGCTCCGTATCGCAATCATGTCGGCATCCATAAAGACAAGCTTCTCATACATGGTGAGGTTAAACATGTAGATCTTGTCTAAGGTGTCGCGAAAAGGGCCCGACGTCGCGTGGACGCGTTCCGCCAGCGAGGGGACCTCAAACACGTGCGTGTATCTGCCGTCGCTAAGCAGCCGTCTCCTCGACGCCGCGCTGACTCTGCTGGCAGTGACCATGACAACTAGGTCCGCCACCCCGTGCCGCAGAAAGCGGGAGGTGTTGCGCAGCGACGCCCCGAGCACCAAGGCCCCATCCACAAACTTCTCGTTGGAGATGAATGTGAGGTAGGCGATGGGAGCGTGGCGGTTTCGCGCCACGGGCGGCCGGACGCCCGCTGCGGCCATTGGACAGGACCCGTTCGACCAACGCCACGCAGTGCGGCTGTCCAGGTCAAAGTGTGTTTCTCGCTCGTACCCTAACTCCATCAACTTCCCCAGCGCCCATACCTGAGGCGTCGACTTGGGCACTGGCGCGCGTTCGGCTGAGAAGACACCCGTTGCCTCCTGGGCAGCAGCTCCTGCCACCGCCGGCGCCGCCGCCGGATTAGACGCCTTCCGGCGCTCCATCGTCCACAATGTGAAGTGCATGAGGAGCATCCAAAGCGCGGCGACAGCAATCAACAGTAGCAGGAGGAGCGATTTCCTTTTGCGTCTCCTTGCCATACCCTTCATTGCCGCCAGCCCGCCCTGCCACCGCAACCACCAACTGGAAGCGGCTGAGATTGGGGGGGGGGGGCGTCAACGCTGCTCAAAGGCATGGGTGAGAAAAGAGAGAGAATAGGAGACGGTGGCGCCCTTGCTTGCATTGCACGCACAGAGAGCAAGTCCGGAGACACGGCCGACCACGCCGCTTCTTCTAGCCGCTTCCACTACGATCAACCACAAACCGCGCCTTCTCTCAGAGCTGGAGCCATCATCATTATTATAAGTATTGCAATGAAATAAATTCGTTTTTTTTTGTCCCTTGTTCTCCACGCAGAATAAAAAAACAGGAGGAATACCACACACACACACACACACACACACACACACACACACACACACACACACACACACACACACACACACACAC